GGGCAGCTTCGAGGAGGCTGAAAGCAGAAGCAATAGCGGATTTTCGGTTTCAAGGCTTCCGTGGCCGAAACGTGGTGTTTTTAGGTAGCTACAGCCGCAGCCGTGTTGGGAGGTGAAAGCAGGCTGGGGTGGGCTCGGTGTCACCCACGTGGCAGGAGCTCGCTTCTTCCCACCACAGCCCAAGTGGGACATACTCGACATCGAGCATCCCCCAAACGCCAGGCACAGAAGGGACCATCACCATGTTTCATCCCACCAGCGCAGGGACCCCCCCCCCCCCGGGGGGGGAAGGTTCATTTTTGTCCTACTGGAGGGGATTTGAACCCAAGGGAAGCACTTAGCCCCTGCTCACTCCTCTCGCAGGAGGTCACAGCCCACCAGGTCTTTGGAGGTATCTTCCTTCAACCCTACCCAACCCATACAGCCAACAAAGAGGACAGCACGGAGGGACCAGCCGTGACTTGGCAGCCCTAAGTGGTTGGTGGAGCAGGGACCTGAACTGCCACCCTGCCCTGTCCTCCAGCACCCAGCGGGACCACCTTCCCCCAAACGGCATCCAGAGCCTCCACGCCTTTCCCCCGCCGCGGTCGGAGTAAGAGCAAGGAGAAAATTAGCGCCTTGGCACTGACCTCACGTCCTCGACCTCCGGCTATTAGCGGAGCCCTTTGGTGTGGGAAGCAATGCCTTGTGTTCTTTAAGGGAAATCAGTGACGATGGTGCCGGCATGTGTAAGCAGCAGCGGGCACTATATATACCGCTACCCGCCGGGACGAGAGCCCAAAAGGCTTCCCGATCCCGCTCCAGAGCGCGACGGACCTGCAGCCATGCTGAACAAGGCGCTCGCCGTCTGCCTCCTGGCGCTCCTGGCTCTCTCCTCCGCTTGTTACATCCAGAACTGCCCCATCGGGGGCAAACGGGCCGTCCTGGACATGGACATCAGAAAGGTAAGTTCGCCGTGGGGGCAAGCTTGGAGATCGGGGCGTTTCTCCTACCGTCGTGTGAGCCCAACTCCCCTCCGACCCAACCGGCTGGGCGAAAGGCAGGGCGAGGGGCCGCGGAGAGGCGGAGCGGCCGTCCCTCGGAGAGCACCTACCCCTCGAGAGCCGAAGGGGAGCCATAGCCCCCTTCCTTCTTCCACGGGGAATCTTCTTCCCTCAAGCCCTCCCAAATACCTGCGGCGAGGTGCCCGTAACAAGAACATTTTAGCAAGAGGGTTGCAGTTAGGTGCCTCCCGCTGCCAGGCCAGAGCAGAGCGTCCCGTGCTGGCCCCGTGGCTCTGAGCAGCTCAAAGGAAAAGGCTGTTAGAAAGGAAGGAGCTGCAAGGAAGCCTGCTAGGACCAGGACGCACGATTCATTTCCAAGCAACTCCTTTGCTTTCTCCTAATCCTACTCTGGGAGGTGGCGGCGGGGGAAACACTTCCAAAGAGGAGGATAAAAACTCCAGATGTACTTTTTACAGAATAGCAGCGATCACTTCAGAGGGCAAAATTGGTGTTTGATCACTGATTTAACTCAAGGCAGTGATTGGGTTCCCACTCCTCCAGAGCTGCATCGCTCTCCCCAGCGCCACCATCCTGCTTTCAAACGCGCTGCGCCAGTAAATCCAGCAGTTTCCAAAGCGAACTGGCAGGGCTAGCTCGCAGCCGAAAGCGGCAGGAGGCTGCCTACGCCGGCAGAAAGCAGGGAAGGTCCGGGCAAAAGGCTCGACCCCCAGGGAACCGACCCCAGCACCTCCCGCAGCAACAGCTTTACTAACTCTCCCTCGCGTTTCTCCCCCTCTGACCAGTGCATGCCCTGCGGTCCTAGGAACAAGGGCCACTGCTTTGGTCCCAACATCTGCTGCGGAGAGGAGCTGGGCTGCTACTTCGGCACCTCCGAAACCCTGCGGTGCCAGGAAGAGAACTTCTTGCCGACCCCCTGCGAGTCCGGCCGGAAACCATGCGGCAACAACGAAGGGAGCTGCGCGGCCTCTGGGATCTGCTGCAGCAACGGTGGGTGAGACCCCGACAGCCGCAGCTGAGCGGCGCCGGGCTTAGCCGGCTTTCCTTCCACCCTTCCCTCCAGCCCCAGCCCCTCACCGCTGGGTCTTACTGCTCCCTTGTTCCTCTAACATACACGAGAGGTGACCCAAAGTTATGACATAAAATTGGGAGAGGGGACATTACCCAAAGGACAGCTACAACAACCCTTCTTCATCCCTGTATCTCCCTAAGAGTAAGGACCATCCTGTTCAGGGCGGACTCGACTTTCCCACGACACACGGGAAGGTGATAAGGGAAGGCACAGACTGCGAGGTTTTTGGGAAAGGCAGAGAGCAGCCAAGCACGGGGGGTGGAATAGGTGGCAGGACTCCTACCACCACATGGCAGTCCAGCCAGCTGCCTCCTTCATTAGTTAGGTGTGCCCCAAAATCCCAGCCTCCTCCAGCAAGGCAACCCTGCAGGAGATCTTCTGCTGCAGCTTCCTGGGCACAAAGTTAACACAATCTCGCTCAGCCCGTTATTAAAAATAGCTGCGGGTGGTCTCTAAGGGCTAATGGTTCATACTGCTTCGTTTATGTGGTGCGCTCTCTCTCCCCCTGTGCAGAGGGCTGCATGGTTGACTCATCTTGTGACCAAGAAGTGATGTTTCCGTAGACCACCCCACATACAGAAGAGAGGCGGCTTCAGGATTCGCCATCCATCAAGTTGTACAAGTCCAACATCAGTCTAACAGAACAGATGAACCAAGTTCCATGACTCAAATTTAAGTGATGTTCTTAACTAGAAATAAAAACTCGTACAAACAAAGTCTGTTTTTTGCGTGCTTGCCTGGTTCGGTTGCAGACTCTTACTGCTGTCTGTTCAGAAGGACTCGTGTGACCGGCTGGAGAGAAAAGGCCATTTTTAGAAAAGTGTAGATAAAAGTAAAGATTCAAGGCAGACCTCCTGTAGCAGGTGTTTTATCCACCAAGTGAGGGAGGTTGCCGATTCAAAAATAACACATTGGGAATTAGGAGTAAGACCCACAAAGCTAAAAGGCTTCAGGAAGTGAAATCTCGCAGCTTTTAGTGTTAAGCTGTGGTCTTCTGCGGAGGGACCGGCATTCACTCCACCCATGCTCTGGGCTGGCTGAACAGCAGCAAACTGCAGCCTGAGATCGGGCAGCCCAAGCATAGCACCGCTGGGGCAGAGCTGACCTCCAGCCCGCTCCGGGAGCAATGAAGCAAGCACAGATCCGTCTGCAAGACCACCATCAGCCAACGCTGCCAAATAGGACCCAGCAAGAGCTGTGAGCCAGAGTAATCGCAGTATTATCTACAACTTAACCCCCCAGGTGACGACCAAAAGAAAGGAAAAAAAAAAAGAAAGAAAAAAAAAAGGCAGTCATCACACCTGAAGAGGGGAAAGGAAAAAAGTAGATGCATATAAACTAGTATGCTTCCTTTAGACTCCACTTCATGATTTTCTTACCTCAAATGAACGTGCAAAGGAGGGTTTAAATAAACAGGAACGACTGAAGAGTGCCCTTCCACCATAGCACAGACCAGAGAAATCAAGAATTATTTCACCCAATAAAACTAAAACAAAGCTAAGTGTCAGTGCATTCTACAAAACTACTAAGACCCAATTTTCTTTCAAAAGCATCAAGACAGGTTGAAATGCAAACAATGCAGAGGTTACTGTCATGCACAGGGCCCAGGAAGAGCTTCTCTCAGAAGCTGAGATATTTAGGCCCAGGGTTCCTAACAGGAAAAGACGTCAGATTAGTCAGATACTACTTTCTTGCCTGTGATGGGAATAATGGTCTATTCTGCAAGGCCCATGTACAACCTCAGCTGGAAAAGGTATGCAAGTTTGATTACCCATATTCAAGATCAGTTCAAACTAGTGAGGGCAGAAAAAGGCTAAGAGGCCAAAGGAGAAAGGAAGAGTCAACCTCCTGAGAGGCAAGCAGAGATAAAGGTTGTCTGAGCTCGGCAGAGCAGATAAAGGGATTAGATTCCTCTAGAGCACAAACATCAGTGACCTAAGAGACAGGATCTGCCTCGGGATCATTCTTTGCTCCACTTCACCCCGTAAGTCTAGCCTGAGAACAGGAGGGATCCAAACAAGCGGGGAGTGAAATTGCAGAGCAGCGTCTGAGTAACAGAAATGGGAACACCAACAGCTTCTCATGCAGCTTTTCCACCGCCTGCCACCCCGCAGGGACTGAGACGGACCACTAACGCCTCCACAGTTCAAAACAGCAGGATTTAATTTAAAGTTCAGCTTTCTCCCTCTCCCCCTACCTTTGTAATTGCAGGCGTTATCCCTTCAGCACAGGGACCACAGCTAGACCTGCAGGCTGTTTCTCCAACAATTCTATGGTTGATACGTGCATTCGAAGGAGGAAACCTCCTTCTGCCAGCCCCTGCCATTATCTCGGCACCTGGACAGAAACCACGACAAAACCTCCCCTCCCAACCACGACCAGGCCGAGCCACATCTGTCAGCGGAGTCGCTAGGGCAGAACAGTCCGTTTGATTATTCTTCCTTCTTTGTCGATGGCAAAGTTGTAGTTGCGAGGATTGTCCAGGCACTCTTCAATTCGCGCGTCCAGGTTTTCGGGGGTGATAAACTTTTTGGCTTCCTCCTGAAGGAAAGATGATGCGTATTACCACGCAGGTCACCACGGCAGCAGAGCAGACACCATACTTGGCCAAGGCTTGTGGGTCCACAGAGGACAAGATCCGCATTTCACATGGATATTTCTACCCCAGTGGGGCTGCTGTCACCTCTGCACAAGCTACTGGTGCCTGCAAGGATTCCGGCAGAGCTCACAGATCTCCATGCTCGCCATGAAGTGGAGACCCTGAGGTGCCACTAACATCTTCAGCCTCTCAGCAGGAGCAGAGTCAGCCCCAGAAAGAGGGAGACCTTTATTCTGTCACTCAGGATTATTCCTTCCCTGTTTTCAGAGCTCCCACACAACCTTTATCCCATCCACAAGCTGTCAACACTCCCGGAGGGAGCCAAGATCTGTGTTCCCAGCTTCTGATACAAAACTCTCTGGAAAACAAGCCTACTGCTTTCACATCACTCCCTCCCACAGGGTACCATCAAACTGCTCACAGGGACCAGCGACACTGTTTTCCCCAGCACCCCCCAGCCACCCTTCCCTGCAGCTGGAGAACCTCTTTCTCCTTCTCCTTCAGGAGAGCCTCCATTAGCTTGGCCTTGTTCTCCGCAGCCTGTAACTTCTGCCTCTTCCGCTCTTCTTCTTCTTTCCTAATTCTTTCCTCCCTGCCACACGGAAAGAAAAAAACCAAGGCTCTGTTGAATGCTTATACCCTGTAGGGTGGCACACATACCTCGGGGTACAAAACTTGCAAGTTTGAGTGCAGCCAGAGCAGACCGGAAGGGTCAGACCAGCGCTGGTGAAGACAGCCCTTGCTACTCACAGCACGGAGATGGAAGAATACCCCCGGCCCTGTGACCAGAACAGTTAATGCAAAACCTTAATGCAAAAGCTTTCATAGATGAGTACACTAGCAGGCATGCCATGGACCAGAGACCTAGCAGTGCTCAGCTCTGCCTTCAGGCTTCGTTTGGGAGTCTGAAGTCAGAGCACACGACTCTTCCGGGAACGCGTGAAAGAGGAAGCTTGAGCACCTTGCGGTAGACCATTGGGAAGGCTGCAGGGAAAGCCAACAGGGAAAGGAAACAGGGAAAGGAGGGAATAACGTTCCCTCTACTTTTTCCCCTTTAACCCTTTCCTGCTTTTAAGATTCAGCACATCAGACAGTTTGCCAATTTCATTAGCTTTTTTTAATCCACTTCTAGCATCTGACCAGAGGATGGCTCCCTGCGAGCGGCATCTGCCAGGGAACACGGGGAAACTTAACTCTGAGCTGCAACTGTTTCCGATTATATCAACTTCAGCTCCATAGTTTACCTGTCAGCAACGGGAGGTACCAGAAACACTACCCCCTCGCAAGGTGCTTTTCGGCAGCAAATCCTGAAGGGCCTTAAGAGAACATCCTCTGCTTGCTTTCTCTGAGCAACATCCTCTGCTTGCTTTCTCTGAGCTCAGGCACAAAGGGGACCCCAGTCACTGCCAAGCGGGGACAGCAACCGTCAGCTGGCAGCAGCCTGTCACCGTTCCCCCCCCCGAACGCCAAATCTGAAGTGTGCTCTCCTGGCCAGAGGACAGCTGTCCCTGTCAAATCCATTCTGCAGGTGGCTTGACAGCTTCCCTCTTTGCACAGGAATGATTTCAGTTGGATTTGAACCAGCAATCTACAGGGATTGCCCTTTACAGGAAGGAAAGCAGGTACTTCCCATTTTTTCCATCTTAAAAAGCTGATTTATTAAAGTCAAAACTTAGGTCAAATGCCTTCGTAAAATAAACACTTTTCCACCACAGCCTAGCTTTAAACTCTCGAGACATTTAATTTAATTTTGCGTGAGCAAAAGGCAAAACCACTGAGTCACCACTTAATTGCCTGCAACTAGTTCCAATTTCGGACAACATCAATCTCTCCCCTAACTACAAGGGAAACGTTCTCCGCAGCGTTCAGAGCTCCGAGTCTGACCGGGATGCGGGAAGCTCGCCCTGCCTGCTGCTGGGACCAGGACGTGGAGATGAGAACTTCTGCTTCAAAACTGTGGCAGATCACAAGCAGAAATCACTTTGCCGCTAGCTGTGAACGCTGTCTCCCGTTTAATGACTTTTTCTTGAACGTGACATTCTGACGCCAAAAGAAACGTAGCCAGTGCTTTTACGGCGTATTTACGGAGACTCTAATTTCAAGACTGCGTGCTCACACAGGCTTCCCGCAGCGCCCAGCAGGTCGCCTCACCTCCGGGCCCGCTGCCGCGCGTTCTCCGCGTCGTTCCAGGCCATCAGGAGCCGGTGCTCCTCGGAGCGCTCCTCGGTGTCCTCCCCGCTCAGGAGCCGCTCGCGCTTCTTCTGCGACACCTCGGCCCTGAAGACGGACCTGGGGCCAGGAGGAAGGGCTCTGACTAGGCTCCCACGCCGCACTTCTCCTTTGCTTGCGCTCAGCAGCCCCCCAACCGCCACCCCGACCCTCCCCTGCCCCACAGCAGACCCCC